GGAGGCGCAGGTTCGTCCCGCAGGTGGAGGTTTTGCAGGTAGCGGTCTGGGTATCTGGGAGACCCGAGGAGAGGCGAGGCTCTCGCACATCAGGAAAAGATGCTGAGAGGACAAGCGAAGAGAGGAGCCGCGGCGTCGGTCTCCAGTCATATCCTCTGCTGCTGTGTCTGACTCCCTGGCTTCTTCTCCGAGCCCCCGCACAACGCGGGAGTTGTCCAGCCCGAGGGATCCTGCTGCTCCTCGGCTATACCTCCGTAAAAATCAGGTTTCGAGCCATGGCGTATTTATTTTCGGACCTATCTCTGCCACCACCCTTGTAGCATCCTCAAGGACGGAGCCCGGCGTATGGCAGATTCGACTGTTATATTCCCTGATTCGTTCTTTAGCAGCTAATTTTTAAGTGCCCACTAAAGACCAGACATTGATCCAAGACAGCAGATACAGCAGTCAATAAGACAAAGCTCTTATTCTCAAGCAATGGGTGAAAGAAAAACAACAAATAAATACGAGGCAGCTAGTGATAAGTGCCATAAAGAAAATAGGTGGAAGGAGGGAGGAGAATAGTCCAATGATGGGAAGGAGCAATTAGGGAAGGAGGGATGGGGAGTCTGCCCTGCTTGCCGTCCCATTACTGTCCCTCCCGTCGGAATTGGCGGTTATCTCCCTCCTCACCCCTTGCCTGCCCTAACGTGGTCCTTCTTCAGTCCTCGCTGAGAAACTGGCTGGATTTTTACTAGAGTTTCATTTTACCTCAGTTAAAGCAGGAATAATCTGGGTTTGATGATTCCAAGAGCAACTTGTCCCATAGGTTGAAGATGAGCAGGGCTTCACTGTGTCATGGGTAACTATAAGGTTTTGGCAGAGCCTTACAGCAACCCCAGAGAGAATATTTTTAGCCTCTTTGAAATACCAGTTTTCCTATGGCTTTCAGCCTTGGGCCTTATCTTTTGTGTAATGCTGCTTCATTTCTTGCCAAACATTAGGGATTTGTACAGTTTGAAAATACAGAGGTTGCAGCCCCCTGCCACCCATCTTACTCCTCTTGGCACCTTTCATTTGACCCAAGATGGCCAAGATGTTTCACAACCTTTCCTTCCTCCTCTTTTTCTTTCTTTCCAAAGCAAATATTTATTAAGCACCAGCTGTGTTTAGGTACTGTTTTAGATGCAAGAATACAGCACAGTAGTAAGCAAGCCAGACAACATCCTTGTCCTCAAGGAACTTATAATCTAGCTGGGGACACAGTGGAGATTTACACATAGATCCTGAGGACCTCCAATCCTGTGGCACTATTGAGTGAGTACACTGAGAACTGCTTGTTCCCACTTCCCCTGTTGCCCAACAGGGACAGCTTTCTTAACCTCCTAAGCCAGCTGTTGATAGCAGCCAACAGAACTTGGACCAGGCAGTGTTGGACAGCCTAACACTAGAATCAAGGGTTCCAGAGCTCTGAAAGTGCTCAAGAGGCTCAGACCTGGAATCAGCCTGAGAGCCCCTTTAGTCAGTGAGGTAAAGAAGAGAATGGGACTCCAGGCAGAGTGAATAGCATGTGTGTGGCAAGGCATGGAGAAAAGTGATGTCTTGGAGAGGTGCAGGAACACGAGGGAGAATTGTCAGTAACTGCTGTTCTTAAACATTAAGAAAAGTCAGCAGCACAAGAAAAGTTAAACACGTGAAGACACAATGTTCGTCAAAGAATCAGTAGGAGGGCTGGGGATTTAGCTCAGTGGTTCAGTGGCCTGCCTCGATAGCGCAAGGACCGGAGTTCAATCCCCGGTACCCCCCCCCAAAAAAAAAAGAATCAATAGGAGTCATGATTGATTCACAGCTGAGTAGGACTCAAGAAGGGTCTGGGGCTACATGCAGGAGAGGCTATAAGCTTGACATTGAAAGAGTAAGTCTGTGGAACAGAAAGGGTTTAGTGGAATCTAACTTAAGCACTTAAGCAGCAGCTAGGAACAACCTATGGAGAAGCACTGTGTGTGTGTAGAGGAACAAAGACAGCTAAGTTGCTTTTTGCTGTCTAAAATCAGAACCTAGCTGGGCATGGTGGTGCATTCCTATAATCCCAGCACTTGGGAGGCTGAGGCAGGAGGATTGCTGTGAGTTTGAGATCAGCCTGGGCTACATAGTGAGTTCCAGGGCAGTCTGAGCTACATAGTGAGACCCTGTCTCAAGAAAAAATAAATAAATAAAATCATAACCTGATTCTGTACTGTAGGAGTGAGGCAAAAGTGTAAAGTAGGAAAGAAAGCCAATTACTAGGATGGTTATTAATCTTAGCTCTCCTAAGTATAGTTGATTGCTTCTGCTCAGGAGATTATCTTCTGAGAAGCCATGTAAAATGAGTCTCAGTATTGTTTATGGGAGGAGGAAGGAGGGAAGGAAATTTATCCACCAGCTTGTCTCTCTCTCATTGGATAAATGATTCTCATTGGATAAAGATTCATACAATTTGTTCATGCCTGTGCCAGATTGGTTTTGGTAGTGTCCCAAAACTCAGTGTCTCAAGGACCCTGGTGAGAGGCACATGGCAGGGCCACAAGGTAAAGTGTTATCAGATACAGTGGTATGAAATTAAATGGAGCCCACACATCTGGATGCTAAAGCAGCTGCTGGAGCAGGAGACGGTCAACAGTAAGACACTGAAGGTCTGCTGCAGGGGAGACGATGATGATGCATGAACTTCTGTACCATATAATGTGTCCCCATTTCCAAGGGGCCCTAGAAGAATGATCTGTGGGACCACTGAAGGGAGCCATAGAAGGGCTTCCCACAGTGCTGGGAACTCCACAACACAAGATGAAACCCATCTGGCCATGTCTTCTTGATTTTTTGCCTCTGTTTACTTCTCTGTTTCCTCCATTAGACTACGAGCATCTTCATTGTTATTGTTTGTTTTTTTGATTTTTTTGGTACCGGGGATCTCAAAATATCTTGTGCTTGTGAGGCAGGCAGGGGAACCACTGAGCTAAATCCCTGGGCCCCATTGTTCTTGTTTGTACATCTGTGGCAGAGTAAAGGCTACTTTCACCAGCCCATTTCATTTTCCTCCTAACTCATAGCAAAATTACTTTTCTCAGTAATCAGGTGGGTCCCGTGTGACTGCGCTCTAGATAATAGGATCTGGACAGAAGTGATATAAATGTCCCATTTAGGGACATCTCCTAAAAACTCCCATGTGATCCTCCAAACTCTTCCTTACCTCGTCTGCTGGCCAGTTGCAAAATTACCCAGTGGAGGTCCAGGAAATGATAAACATGAGTCTGAACCCATGGCTAATTGCAAAGTGGCACCTGAACTGGCTCATACTGTGAGCAAGAAATAAGCTGATAGTGTTAAGTTATTAAAATGAAGGTTAAGCCGGGAATTTAGCTCAGTGGTTCCTCCATCTGCCTCACAAGAGCAAGGACCCAAGTTCAATCCCCAGTACCAAAAAAAAAAAAAAAGAAGGTTAAAGGTTGAAATGAAGTGGAGGTTATTTGTTGTAGCCACTAGCATACCCTAATACAGTACTTGCCTAACTTCATATGTTTCCATGCCCCTCCAAGGCTCAAGCCCTGGTATATTCACATGTGACACATAGTAGGCATTGCTCAAAGTATGACTACAAATCAGCTGATACCTGAATCTAGTCCTAAAGATCAGAGGCGGAATCAGGATCAGGAAAGGTGGGAAGTAGAAAGTGGTCCGTCAAGTGGGTATAGCAGATAAAAAGACCAGGAAAAACACGGTCAGTTCTCAGCATTGCCAAAAGTTCATGATACGAGAGGGAGATGAGATGGCTAGACTGAGGCTAGAGAAAAGGCAAAAGCCAGATCATAAAGGGCCTATTATGTTACATAAAAGGAGTTTAAAAGTTATCCTATAGGAATCATTTAAGGAAATAAAAAAGATGTGATATCATCAGCTTTTTGTTAAAGAAAGATTTCTCTAGCTTCCTACGAAAAGGATGGATTAGAAAAGGAGAACCAGCTGGGCATAGTGGCAGCCTATAACCCCAGCTACTTGGGACACAAAGACTGCTTGAGCCTGGAAATTGAGGGCCAGCCTGGAAAACATAGCAAGACCCAATCTCTTAAAAAATGTTTTTTAAAGGAAGAAAGACAAGGAGAAGAAAGAGGAAGAAGAGGAGGGCATGGTTGAGGAAGAGAAGGAGGAAGGGGTAGAGAAAGAAGGAAAAAGAGAAGAGGGAGGGGAAGAAGATGGAAAATCCCCAAATACAGATTTTTCTTAAAGCAGTATCTCCTCTTTTCCAAGTTATTCATCCCATGAAATGGGCCACTGAAAAGATATTTTGAGATCAAGTTTGTTTGAGGGAGTTGTACATAGTAGCCCTTTTGGGGTGTTTTTGGAGGTTACTTAACTGAAAACTGAGCATTAATGAAATCTATCAAACCCTAGTGCCTGGTGGTGAACCTATGGCATGCGTGCCACTGAAGCAGCCTGTGTACAGCACTGAAAGCTCTAAAAAGTTCACTATCACTGCCCTAGTATGAGAGTTTCCAAAGTGATTTGGCCATAAAACTCTCTTTTCATTTATCTATTAAAATTGACATTATTTAAGATAAGATTTGGCCGCCTGTTATAGAAATAATGAAAGAATTATGATATTGAAAAAATTGTTTGTCCTCCACAACATACATATGAAGAGGCAGCCCAGGAGTGACACGAAAGCTCTACAGTGTCTTTGGAATC